GCCCGGGGCCCCAAGCCTGAGGCCCCCCGAGAGCCGCGGTGACTCGGCTCAGGGCTGCCCCTCGCTCGTGCGGGGTCTCCGCCCCGCAGGACGCCGTCCCGAACGCGGCCAGGAGTCTGGACAGGAGAAGCCGTGGGCTTGAAGCGGGTGACTGCTGCTCCCCAGGGAACCCCGTCCCCACGTGCCCGGGCTGCTCCTCACCGGAGCCCGGACCCCAGAATGAGAGAACCTCCGTCCTTGCCTCAGATGCGGACCTGGAGCAGCAGTGAGAGGAGCAGAGACCCCAGCTGAGCGCCATGAGCTGTGGGAGAGCTGGGGACGAGGAGACCACGGGTCTGGGGTCCCCCGGGCTCCCCGGTCCTGGCTCCCGAGGGCCGTGGGGGTCTGCAGCGGGCGTCGGGCAGGGACGCTCCCCTGACCTCAGAGGCACCGGCCCGTCCCCCCTCGTCCACGGGGGCCCCCCAGGTCCGTGATGGCAGTTGGGCCCACAGACCCCCGCCTGGGGCCCCTCCCACCTGGGACCCGGTCGCCAGGCTCGGGGCCCCGGTCTGCCGGACACCGTGACCCAGAGCGGCACGTCCAGCCCCAGCAATTTCCAGCCCATTTCCCGCCCCACCACGCGGACTCGCTGGCGCGGCGCGGGTGACCTGTGCAGCTGGCGGGCACCGCGCGTCCCGTGGCCTCTGGGCTCCGCAGGGCCCCTCCGGGAGGTGCTCCAGAGGGCAGGGGGATGAGGAGGAGGGGCCGAGCGCAGGGGCCCCGTCTGCGGGGACACACGGCCACCCCCTGGCCCCAGGAGGGGCGGCTCGGCGGGACCCCGACACCCCACCAGAGCTGCAGCTGTATCACGTCACCCGTCGCTTACACAGAACTTCTGGATGGACAAACATGTGACTCACAGGTCGTAAACCTGCTCTGAACCTCTCTTCTTCCCCGTGTCCTCTTTCCAGAAGCTTCCTCCCAGGTCACCCGACTCCCGCGCTCCGCCCCAGCAGCGGTGTCCAGGCCACGGGCCGCGGTGTCCTCTCACGGGCCCGGCCTGGCCCCTGGCCCCACGGTGGGCTCTGGCTCCCTCAGGCCCTGCCGGTGGTGCCGGAGGCGGGAGGCGGCAGGACCCTCCAGTTCCCTCTGAATCGTGCAGCGTCTGGGCCTGCCTGGAGGGGCCACTTCCCTTTCCTTGGCCCCTGATCAGGCCGACGGGCCCCACCCTGACCTCAGCCACAGTGTCCCCACATCCCCTGAAGTCATGACACCCCTGCGCGCCCCTGGCCGGGCGCCGAGGGCCCGTCAGCCTGCGGGTCTGATGCTCAGGAGCGGCTGGGGGCAGCTCCCCACCAGGGACAGCCGGGGACGGGGTCTCCGCAGCTCCCCAGTGACCCAGGGCCTGGGCAGCGACGGGCGGGGCCAGCGGCCTTCTCCCCTCGAGCTGTGATGCGCCTGCGGGGCCCTGACCTCACGTGGCCGCCCCTCCTCTCCACCCAGAGGCACGAGGTCCCCAGAGACTCCCGGCCCCCGGCCCCGGGATTGGGCCAGGTCCGGAGGGGCCGGTGGCCAGGCCCAGGCTGCTCCCGCCGGACCCCGGGCCGGGCTGCGCCGAGCTGGGTTCCCGGGGAGGGTGTCACTCGGCCCGAGGCCCGGGCGTCAGCCGCCCGCCCTGTGTGGCTGCGCGCTCGGCTCAGCTATGGGGCGACCTCACGCTCTGGCCCCGACGAGGCCGCACGCCCGACACGTGCGGTCCCTTGGCCCCGAGCCGGGGCTGGCCTCGGCACCTGCACCCCGATCCGTGCTGGCCTCTGGGGGCCAGCGTGGATGTCCCAGCCCCCCGCCCCTCCTCCCTCCCACCCCAGAGGCTTCCCTGGTCTCTGTGCCCCCGGCTGCAGCCACGGGGCACCAGGGTGTGGGCGCCATCCCTCGCGCCCTCACGCCCTCCCACGGGAGCTGTACAGCGCCCGCCCTGCCGCCCTGACCCCGCGGCCCCGCCCTGGCCCCGCTCTGCCGCGGGTGTGTCTGGTCTCCTGGGTCTGGACAGGCCCCAGGCGTGTGCACCCCACCGTTGCCCTGGCCCTCCGGCCTGCCCTGCCCTGACACTGTGGCAGCCCCCGGGGCCGGGCAGTGGCCTGGGTGGCTCCGTCCTCCCGTCTGAGCTGTGGGGTCTGTGCAGGGCTGGGGGCGCTGGTTACAGCGAGTCTCCGTGCTCCGTGTCCAGGTGAGTCAGGCCGTCCCCTGACCGCCCGTCTACCCGCCATGGTGCACGGGCCGCCCTGAGCTGGCCGCGCTGAGCAACTGGGGTCCACATCAAAGAGCGAGGCCGTGTCCCCCGGGCTCTGCCCCTGCAGGGTCTGAGGGGCATCGCCTCGGCCGGCGGCCCAGGCCGGGACCGCGTCCGGGGTGGGGGCAGGGCCAGTCCTGGTGCTCGGACCCCACCTAGTTCTCTGCCCGGGAGGCGGGCTCAGGTGGCCCGTGGGCGCCCCTCCCGCGTGCAAGGCCCCAACCAGGAGGCGAGAGGGGAGGCGCCCTCAGCCTCAGCACGAAGCCACGCGGTGAACAGTAGGCAGGACTGGGGTGCTGGTCGGGGTACGGGCGGGAGCAGGGCTGGCTGCAGGGTCAGGGCGCGGGCTGGGCGCGGGCTGGGCGCGGGCTGGGCGGGGGGTCTCAGGCTGTCTTGAGGGATGTTAGTCCCTGCCCGCTCTGGCGTGAAGGGAATGAAGACAGACACGCTTGAGAACTCCGAGGACAGGCACCTTGGGGGTGAACTTCAGGCTTGCTGAAGGCCAGACTCGGGGCCCCCAGGCAGCGGGACTCAGCCACGGAGAGCAAAGCCCTCGCCAGGACCACCTGAGGGCCGGGCGTGCTGAGGAACGAAACTCGGGGGTGTCCTCAGCCCCAGCGACCCCGC